ATCGGAAAGAGTAGGACGACGTAAAATGCAAAAAACATGGTTTTTCCCTATCTCGCTCTATGATTTTTGACCGGTTGAGCCGCCATCTTGGATTTTCAAATTTGGCGCGCCTCTTCAGCCGAGTCAGCAATCTAGGTCTCCTATATCTATGGTCACCCACGCCCGCGATATTTGATGAACTTTAGACTCCGCTAATGCTTTCGTTTCCCCGGGTGAAATAGCCGGGGGGAATTAGTACCCTCGCACGGCGCTTCGCGCCGTCGGCTCGGGGATAAAAGTAGGAAACATGCTCTCTATTGTTGGGAGCTAAATGAACACGGGTGCAAAGGATATATGTATGTCATTAATTATAATCCGGGTCCACCGTAATTGGAAAACCTTTGGCGAATTACCTGCTCTTTATTAGGAGAATCTCATTAAATCATAAGGTGGTTGGTCTCAAAGTGTGTATAAAAACTGCGTTCGAAACTTCCATCTATCAAATATCCATCTACTATTTTTTCACGTTTTCATAGGCTCCTGGCTCAAAATAAATAGGTTTGTTTTATATTATGTAATTAATAATAATGACATCGGGAGTCATTAAATTAAATTAATCTAAATTTAATAAAAAAAAATTAGGCCGTATTGCATTACGAATTAGCCTCCTCCGCAGGCCTCTCTATGGGTTCTAGCCTGCGAATGGGTTTGAAAAAAAAAATTTCTGGAAGAGAGGCCTGCCATAGCCTCCTCCGCAGGCCTCTCTATGGGTTCTAGCCTGCGAATGAGTTTGAAAAAAAATTTGTTAAAACAATCCAATAATGTCTTGCATGTCTATCGAAATTTCTATCTACGAAAAAATACATGTATATACTAACCCTTGTAATTCCGATAGCCCCAACATTCTCACTAAATGAAGTAGTGCCATTCCCTGTTCCAATGGAACCCGCAAACAGGCAGCTCAGACCCTCGACACCAATCCCCCGGTTTACTGCGTGTGCAGGAGGAGGCGGAGCACCGCATAGGTTTGCACATGCATAGTAATCACCGATTGATTCAACAATTCCGGCTAGGACACCTGCCAACATTCCAAATACACTTGCCACACTGACTGTTGGCATACCCCACTGACCTACAATGACATGAAATATAAACCGTACAGTAAATACCCAATATGGCAATTTTCAAAAACTAAGAACAAGTTTATTTTGAATCTCGCTCGACAAACGAACTCGATTTAAAACGTATGGTTCTAGTGTAGGAAGTAGACAATAATGACTTGTGAAACTGCTGTGCTGAGTGGTTATATTACTACCTTTTGACGAAGGGCCTTCGCTCGTAACGTCGAGTTTCTGCTTTTTTTTAAGGTAGTAATATAACCACTTAGTAATATAACCAATTTTCACATTGGTGCTACCCACACTGGTACAGACAGTTTTAATAATGACTTGTCTTCGTTTTGACGATAACCTCCTGAATGAGAAAATCTGGACCTTTCGAGCCAAAGCTCGTCATCGGAAGTTTTCGTTAAAAGCCCTCGTACGAATGGCCTTCGCTGGAAACGTTGGCGTTCGTTGTATCAGAAGAAAAAGAAGATTTATTCAATAAATATAATGGTTTGATACTTTTATCTATTTACAAAAGAGCACAGGTTGTACAAAATAACCGTAGGGGAACTGTGCAGCCATCTATATCACAGAATCAGGAGAGTAGACTGGTCAAATGTAATAAAACGGCCAGTAAACTCACATTGCAGCTTTCTCCAACAGAAATCAAGATATTTGTACTGTATCTCGATGACCTGCGGGATTTGATACAGCAGTGAAACTGCAAGCACTCTTTTATAGTCAATCTTTGTTAAAGCACATGCCCTAATTATTGTACCATCAACACTCCACAGCCATAACAAATTCCTGGTTGATGAAGACTGCATACCTGGATAAGGTATTCTAAACCATGGTGAATCAGACAAGACTGCAGAACGAGCATCAGTTCTGGCTTTCGAATCTTCATCAAATGCTCCTGCCGCTGTCAGGATGAGGCAGAATAACCATGCTGTAGCAATGGCGATCACCACCTAAACAGATACATTTCAAAGCTTTCACTATTCCACTGTGCACTGTGCACGTGCATACATGTGTCAGATCGTGAATGACACGTCGGCCAGAAAATATAAGATAAGTAGGTTTTGAACAGATGACAAACTACTTACAGGAAACAATTTGAAAATCCGCAGTTTTTGTGTGAAGAAACCTCTTGTTTTGGAATAGCCAAGTATTGGTACTGGAACTTCAGCGAGAAACAATGAGCAAATCACCATTACACCAATTGTTCTGATGAAGAAGTTGAATTAAGTAACATTATTAACTTCTTATATATTAACCAAACGCGAGGTCTGTACAGAGAAATATCGGACCGAGGTCTTTTTTGAGGTCCGATATTTCTCTGTACATACCGAGCAAGCGAGGTTAATAAAAAGTATATTATATATTTATATGGTATTTATACTTGAAACAAACAAGATATGCATGATTTGAAATGCATATTAGTAGCGTGGTACACATTTGGTCGAAGAAAACCAAAAATTTACTAATGTATTCCTTCTTTTCCACTAAAAACCATTCTTTTCCACTAAAAACCATTCAATTAGTTTTGCTGTTTTGTTTTAAAATGCATGCGTTTGTTTTCACGTAATGGACCGCCGGTCCATTACGGGAAAATAATGGACCGCTGAAAGTGCTTCTCAGCCAATCACAGTCCGCCATTTCACTGGAAGTGATGCTTGTCATATAATAAATATATAAAATACAAGAACCTGATAGTAACATAGCATCGTGCCATGTATTAAACACCTGCAGAACATTTGAAACCAGGAGAGCATATGAGGAAAGGAAGAGAGAATATGTACGCCATGTAAACAATTCCAATTAAAGAAGACTCGAACGTGGCAAAGGATGCATGGAAATACACCATAAAATTGACTTTGAAAGTGCAAACATTATTGATAAGGGAAATTTTCGAGTGAGGAAAACATTGGAATCTTGGTATACCAAATGCAAAAGAAAAAGGGGGACGCTGCCAAAATAATATGCCATTGTCAACCGCAAACAATGACTCTCCGTAATAGGGGATTCAAGGTTTGCGACACCATAACGAAACACAATAGTGCAAACACAATGGAATTCCCTATGGGTAAATTTGCAGGTGGTCCAAACACAATGGTGAAAACAATAAATTCAAGATGGCGTCGGAAACCTTCAATCCCCTATTACTTGATTATGAAGGGGCCATTAAGAACAAGGGACCTAACTAGGTTGGTGCTGAACGGCAAAGGTAGTCCAACCCAGATCATTTCTGCATTTTTAAGCCTCTGGGCGTTGACTTAATTAACGGCATTTTTAAAAGCAATTTTTTATATATTTCATCCGTTAGTCAAAGATCTGGTCATGGAAATCTAATGTTATTTTCAATGTTATTTTCCCTCTTTTTGCTTATACAGAAGGGGACCTCCACTTTCGGGACCAACATAAGTCCCTGGAGGAGCAAACAATGGGGGCTGGCGACCTTGGCCCCTCCAGTCTATGTGTCAAAAATATGCCCTGTTGATTAATAGATCTGATAATTCAGGTACGTCTAATATTAGTACACTCCTTGTAAAATAAATAGTTGTAGATACAGTAGTTCCTTCTAACGATTGTTATACCCGTAGAGGGCCACAGAATGGGCCGAAAACTTGTAATAAATAAATACCGACTTTCGGAAAGCGTAAAAATATACTCGCCTGCGACTTGAGTATTTTTACGCTTTCCGAAAGTCTCGCGACATCCCTCGTGCATGGATCACGCAATCCTGCACGGAAAACCATTCGCAACCTCGTTCCCAGGGCTTTTCCCTGATAATTGTTTTATAAAATAACTACAATATTTTGAGAATACCGCGAAAATCCCGCGAAGGCATTTTAATTCCTTGTGTAGGATAGCCTGATCCTGCACGGCTATTGACCAATCAAATTGCGTGTTTCACTGTAGTTATTATATAAAACTATTTCTGGCCGCGTTTCTTCTTCCATATTTTTCTCAATAAATATATACTTACAATGACGCAATTCCCCATTGGGTTCCTATGTGATAGAGATTCAGAAATAATAAAGCAATTAGTGGAACACAATTTGAGAAATAGATCCTGTGAAAACTATGACCATCAATTTATCTGGGAGAAATGGACGCCTCCAAATTATAAGGAAACGCAAACGGGCGACGTTGTTACGAAAACATTATTTCCTAGCCATTTTTGCAGAAGGTAGACAAATCAGAAAATATTGCTTCCTAGTCATGTTTCCAGACAGGGGCGTATAGGAAGCATCAAAAGATCGGGGGAGTTGGCACCGACTTTCAGGGGCATTTGTGGATAATAAAAAGGGCACCTAAACGATTTTCTCCGGAAATGTTGGCGACGGGGGGAGGGGGATTTCCTCCGGACGTAACATATTTCATACTTCATATCTTTAATACATTTGCCATAATGCCATTTGACTAAATTAAATGTCCTGATTTTGAGGGAGTTTTGTTTAAATTAAAAACATTAAAATGTCCTATAAATTTCTTCAATTGCATTGACTTACATGACGCAGAATAGTACTTAAACATAAGTAGCTTGTGTAAAACGGCATACGTAAATGTGTTTATGAAACAAAAAGGGCACCTTCGATGTTAAAATAGTATTAGTGATGTGGGTATCCTGGATAATATGAAGGTAATAATAATAATAATTCACAGCATCACAAAAAGGGCACTTTTGGCCCTTTGAAAAAGTTGGTGGTGGGGGGTTCGTACCACGGTTCCTACGCCCCTGTTTCTAGAAAGTGGAAGAGCCAGGAAACATGGAAGATACGGGAATCTTCCCCCCTCGTCCAATGAGATGTACGAGAACATGAACTTTGACACTTGGTATATAATGTTTCTTAGCCATGTTTCCCGAAAGTAGACCGAAGGCGAGGTGATTATTGGGGAATATTCACCGAGACGAATTCGAGCCTGAGGCGAATAGTTGAATAATCACCGAGCCTGAGGCGAATAGTTGTTTTAGTATTTTTACACAAGTCTTTTGTGTTTTTTGGGACTGAATTTATTTTATCAATAAACCTTTTGATAAAGATTTAGATAAATTATTATTATTATTCTTTTCTGTAATAATTTGAACTTGTAAATGAGGTCAAGATGACTTCGAAACGTCGTTCTTTAATAAATTTATTATCGCTATCATATTTGTCTGAATTTATTTTAATTTTGCTATTTCTTGATCAGTAATTTCCACAAAACGGTTAGCCGCCATTTTGCAAATTTTGGTTTTAGGCCGTGAGATGAGGGTCGAAAATATGCTTTATAGAAAACTGATTCCGTAGCACCCCTCGTGTAACTACATAAATTTTACATGAATCTATAGATTATAACTTACTTAGTTAGAATCCACTTCCCCCCAAGCGAAATAGTTGCACAAATTAAAGTATAAGCTCTTCAAAGTTCACGCTTCCTCGTGTTTCGAAACCCATGAACCGCCATTGTTGTGTTGCAAATACGCATGCGCTTGAGCACAAAACACGTAATGCGCACGCGCAGATAAGAAAAACTGATCTCAATCTAGGACTGGACAAGAAAAAATTATGAAATGTGCGAAAACAGGGCTGAAGTAAAACAAGATGACATCGGAATATTTTAAAAATATATGATATTTTTATGTTCTGTGCATTTTAATGGAGTTTACCAAACATTCTGAGCAATGTACCGTATCGAGCCCTCGCCAGGAACACTTCCAAGCCAACATTACAATAATAACTTATTTAAAATATGATGTTATTTTATACTACAGCAATTGCATAACGTTTGCAAGCGAATCTGTTTTTCAGGCTTTAAATAATATCACAATCCTAAATATTCTAGAACATGCATACCGTAATTTCTCTATCCAATTTATTAGGGGAGAAGGGGGGAGGGGGGTTTAATTCTAATATATACAACTGTTTTGCACGTTTGATTCTCTTTATATATGCAACATCGGGTACTGTGATTATCAGTAAAATATCATAATTATCTTTCAAATACAATACTTTCATGTTTCACGATTTTATACATTAATTAATTGGTTGCAGGAGAAAGGGGTGGGGAGTAGGGGTGGGGGTTTGCTAAACAGAGAAATTACGATATACCATAAGGGAGTGGTCATTATTTATGGGGAGGGGGGGAGTTGGGAAATGGGGAAAATAAGGATTGAAAACTTTTCTGTCCCCCCCCTTCCAGACTGAAGGCAAACTTTTTGTGCCTCCCCCCTCATAAAAGTAGAAACTTTTCTGACCCCCCCCCCAAGTGTAGATTGAAAAATTAACAGCAATGAAACAGGTGTGCATTGCAGGTAAAGTTAGATATTAGGACAATCTGTTCAATCTAGCTCATGATGTTTTACCCTGGGGCCGTTTCTTCAAAGGTGGGTTAGCGCTAACCCTGGGTTAAAAGTTTAACCTGCTGTTTTAGTTTGTGTATTTCTGCACGTCTGTTTATTTCAAAACTTCAGACAAGTAAACTCCTATCCATCCAGACAAGATTTCTGAAGAAATATTTCCAAATTTATAGACAAGCTGTCAGGAAGTTTGCTTTGAATTTTAGGTTAACCTAGGGTTAAGCTAACCCAGCTTTGAACAACCGGCCCCTGGTGAATATGATTCAACCATATATGATTAAAAAATATATATTATGTGTTACTACTTTGCAATGCAACATTTGTCCTACCATAACCCTAACCCATGACCCGTCTTCATACAGCGAAATGAGATTTTAAGAACTTGTCTGGGGGGTGGGCATCTACAAAAAGGGACCATACTATATTGAATGTGTAGAGACGACAGATGGTTGTTGGTGACAAAAAGTTTGGTGTGGTATCGTATGTACTAGTTGGGGGGTCTGGGGGTATTCTCCCCCAGAAAATGTTTTGTATTTTCCACCCCTAGAACTGAAATGTGAGCATTTTCTGAAACATATTTTTGGATATACAGCGTTACATTGTGCGTTGATAGACCAAATCTGATCAGTTAAGTGTACTTGCATGGTATGTTTATGTAAATACCACAACTGGGTCACTCAGGGGGTAGAAAGCTTGTTAAACTTAGTGGGCCCAACTCACACGATCGCGAGGAGCTACCATGGTTGGCGCTGAGCAGTAATTTTGAACATTTTGAGTCTCTAGATCGTTGGAAAAAGCATTTTCAGAGTCTTCTTTTTTGCTATTTGTGATTATAGAAATCAGAACTCTAGACATGGTATTTAAGTTCAAAAACTTTTATGACCCCCCCCCTTTCTCTGTGTTCAAACTTTTTTGACCCCCCCCCTATTTATAAGGGTAAAACTTCGTTTGCAATTTTATTTATTTTCTAAATCTTTCCCTGTCAATTTTATTTGTCCAGGTTCGTTGTTTATCATTTCTTTTGCATTTAATCCATTATTAATAAGAATGAACGGAGGTTCAGGCTCTACGCTGACTGGAACTCGGTTTTTGTACCAGCCAATTTCGTGTTCAAACACTCGTGTTACGTTGTTGATCATGCACGCCTTTATCACGAACGCCTTTTCGCCAATTCAGTATATTTGTGCAATCATCGTGAAAAAACAAAGAAGGAAATAGCTTAGTAGATTTTAGGAGGTATTGTTATGCAACAGCATTAATGGCGTGACGTTTGCAATCTATTTATAATAACTTGCGCATACGACGCGCGCATACCAAGAGAAAGGGAGTTTTTGTCTTATCCATTTAGCATTAACGGCTTTAAATTTCCACAACACACTGTCCATTCTCACTCAAGTAAATTTAAATATGCTATCCAACAGCATTAAGACGCAAATCGGAGCAAGACCAACAGATTACCTGACTCAGACTGAGTAGTTTTCTCTTTATCGAAACATCACTTCTCTCCAAAATGTCCAGAAACGTAGCCATGCAGGATTTTTGGTCAGAGGGGCAGCAAGAACGTAGGTGGGCTATGTTTCACTTCTTTTTATAGAATAAATTTTCTCAGGGGGCACCAAAATTTTACCGGGGTGGGGGACGGGTTCCCCGAGCCCCAACATGGCTACGCTAAAGGCGTACATGAACAACGAAATACGAGTGTTTGAGGATTGGTTGGTACAAAAACAGAGTCGTAATGAGGTTCCAGTCAGCGTAACTCAGAATTGGTACGTTGGCCCTTGAGACAAAGACTTTAAATAAACTCCGTTCTTTGGCTTAATAATGGATTAGACGCAAAGCCAATAAACAACCATTACCCGGACTAATAAAATTAATTGACGGGAAAATATTTAGAGAATAAATAAGATTGTGAATACCGAGTAATACTTAGTTTATGGTATATAGTCGTTTAGCACCACTTCTTCCCCACCCCGGCCCTCTCCTGTAAACAATTCATGTATAAAATCGTGGAGTGAAATTGTATTTGAAACTTGAAAGATAATTATGATATTTTACGGAAAATCACAGTACTCGATGTTGCATATTTAAAGAGAATAAAACGTGCAAACAGATTCTTTGTGTATATTAGAAATACCTCCCTCCTTCCCCCCCCCCCAAAAAAAAATAAATGATAAATTACGGTATGAGTTCTAGAACGTTTACAGGACCGTACGCAGAATGTTTTCATCAGCTGGGGGCAGTAAGGCCTATATGCCGAAAAACGTCACAAATATCCAATGAATAATTAATAATGATATTGCCTCCCCTGCTGTGTACGGCCCTGAATGTTTAGGATTGTGATAATATTTAAAGCCTGAAAAACAAATTTGCTTGCAAACGTTATGCAATTGCTGTAGTATAAAATAACATCATATTTTAAATAAGTTATTATTGTAATGTTGGCTTGGAAGTGTTCCTGGCGAGGGCTCGATACGGTACATTGCTCAGAATGTTTGGTAAACTCCATTAAAATGCACAGAACATAAAAATATCATATATTTTTAAAATATTCCGATGTCATCTTGTTTTACTTCAGCCCTGTTTTCGCACATTTCATAATTTTTTCTTGTCCAGTCCTAGATTGAGATCAGTTTTTCTTATCTGCGCGTGCGCATTACGTGTTTTGTGCTCAAGCGCATGCGTATTTGCAACACAACAATGGCGGTTCATGGATTCCGAAACACGAGGAAGCGTGAACTTTGAAGAGCTTATACTTTAATTTGTGCAACTATTTCGCTTGGGGGGAAGTGGATTCTAACTAAGTAAGTTATAATCTATAGATTCATGTAAAAATTATGTAGTTACACGAGGGGTGCTACGGAATTGAACATTTTCGACCCTCGTCCAAATCCAACGACCTACTGTAACCTCAATTATTTTATCATTTCATTCATAACAACTTCTGAAATGATATAATAACTTATTTTGAAGATTTTCGTTTGATCACTTTGTTTCTGAGGTATTTCAGTGTGTTTGGTATGCAAATATCCGGAATTTACGTCACAAATGCATGACTTAAGGTAAAATCTTGTATATCGTATTCACTATCCAGTTTAATTCATTAAAATGCAGTTTGGAGTTGGGGAGGATTACATATACCGAGTATGTAAAATATCATTTATCCTTTTTATTTCATGATATTTAACTGTACATTCTTTGATCAGCATTATATGTACATGTGACGTGTAAATTCCGGACATTTGCATATCAATAAAACTGAAAAAACTCAGAGAGACAAAGTGTGCAAACGAAAATCTTCCAAATAAGTTATTATATAATTTCAGAAGTTCTTAAGAATGAAATGATAAAACGAATTGAGGTTAGGTGCACTTTAAACGGTTGTTAAGCTCAAAATAGAAACTTAAGCAAGATTCATTCAACAACCAAACTAAAAGTTTTGAACCTTAATAGAACGATAATGTTTACAATTACATATTCACTGCACAATATTTAAGTTGACTGATTCACGAGAGATTTAAGAGTGTTATTTAATTTTGACTTATCCACCGTTTAAGCTAAACGGGCTTGATACAACCGGCCCATGATCAGGACATTTAGGAACATTTGCCTTTTCACAAAAATATATTGAGGTACGTATTCCACTTTCACACCATCAACGGTCAGAATTTTAAAGAGTCGTGTATACTTCAGATACTTATTATGTCAGTAATAGTGCAGTACGTTCGAAAAGTCGAGTTTCTTTTTTGTATTGTTCAAGTGGTTGTCTACTAAATTATGCTGCATGTACATAACATTGCATACTTAAATTAAAGTGCACATAAAGCGATTTGGACTTTTGCATATATGTGATATTCAGTACATTCTAAGACAAAATACCATATACTTTCCTAGAGGAAACATTCTCGTTATGTTCTTTTTGGCCGTTAAACCTACTCGAAGTGACGTCATTTTTGTGGCATGCAGGAAACAAAAGAAAACTGATGTGCATTGCCTTATTTGACGGTCACTTCCAGTAACTCAACAGCCAATTGAGCCAAAAAGACAAAATATAATGCATTTCATTTTATTAGATACACAACAATGGCAACTCCGAATAAAGACAACATTTTTTATTCAACGATGGCTTTATTCGGGGTTACCGTTGTTGTGTACGTATTTCATGAAAATGTTCAGTGGTTCCCGCAACCATCTTATTAGAATGCACTGAATATCACAAATATGTAAATTAAATTCCTAATCGCCGAATGTGCACTAAATCGTTAACATGAGAACATAACATCTACGGTCAAATTTTTTGTTGATTTTGCGAAGAACGTTGGGAAAAGGAAATTTCAGAATTTGAGGAATGTTGAGTATCTTTTCCTCAAGTGTGTTGACAATTCAATGATAGTTCTTACCAGGTCTTCTTGAAAAATTTCCTAATATCTGGTCTCTTCATATGCGCGATAAGACGACCACATTTATCAAATATCAAGAAATGATCTTTCCCACCAGCAAGTTTTGACCATAAGTTCCACGATGTTGTATCTTGATACACTGGGAAGCTCACGATTTTTTTTAATATTGAGATGTGGTTATCACCTCTTTCGTTGACTGCCACGAATGAAACGTTGTACCTGAAATACAAGATTGAAGATATTTTGTGCGTGGAAATTTCGAACAATGAAGCGGTTGTAAATGCATTTAAGAATTAAGACCTATATGAAGCAGGAGCGCTCTGATCACTCATCTATGGTAAAATTATTTATTTACTGATTGCTATAATTTTAAATTAATAAAATCTACAGTAAAAAACAGGGGACTGTTGTATAAAACTGTTAACTACTATGCAACTACCCGTTTTGTAGTTAATTAAATAGTAGTTAACTTGATCCACGTAGTTACGTTGGTTGTATAAAAGTGTAGTTAGCGTTAACTGCAGTTAAAAAGTACAGCAGTTCAGTTAACTATGTCCAAGCCCAAGGGTATCGCTAACATCTCAAAACGTAGTTAAAAATGGCGCTTCAGTTAGGAGTAATGACATTTTCAGCAAGACAATAATGAAAAGCCACTCTTATCTGGGATTTTCAATCGCTATCTTGAAGTATCTTCCCTGTGAATGTTTCTTGACAATTATAAACTCTTGAAACGCTATCGCTTCGGTTTTTTTGCGAAAACAGAACATATTTTTGCACAAGAAGATTTCCCGAAGACGAAGTAGGAGTCTGTAGGAGCCATAAGCTGCCATATACGCGAAGAAACACTGATATAATTGCTAAACAGCAACACTTTGGTTTAACGTAGACATCTCACGGAAAAACTGCCTTCGTCTTGCTTTTGCTTTGATTTCTTGTTTATTTTTTACTATTTTGAATCAAATTAATATTCCCTCTTATTTGCGAAATGCGAATCCACAATCATGCCAAAATGCTTGTCAGCGGACGTTAATCACATCTTACTTCAAGACCCGGCCACGCGCAGATAACCATGTGATTAACTACGTTTTTATACAACCTGCCAAAGAATATCAGTTTAGTTTCTACTACAGTTAATGATCATAATCTGAGTGTAAAGTTCGAAGAACTACATTCGCGCATTAGTTAAGGGTTAATGAAGATGAAATGTCCGAACACTCATATGGCGGTATCGGCTTGTTTGCACGGAACGTCGCGTTTTCACATACCAAACCCGTTCACCTGCGGCCTAGAAATGAAACATTGTGTAAATCCATTAAGCATGGACAGCCATGGTCCACAATCTAGCCCTCATCAAAGGAGGATGAGAGTTGCCACTTGCGAGTCACACAACCTTGGTTAGCTGTTCCTAATGTTTTCCAAGATTGTGTTCGATAGTTCTGGGTTCAAATATACTAGTGTGTTAATGTGTGTTTGTGTCCCTAAATATGTTATAACTATGGTTGTGATGTCTTTCTTGGATCCCAAGAAAGAGTTGGTGTAATATAGGATTCTTGTCCTGTTGATTAAATATACCTTCAACCGTATTCCTTTCCTTCATATATCAGTGTATATTCTTAAATTTAATTTCTAGTATATATTTGTTCATGTATAAAAAGTTGTAAAGTTAATAAATAATAAAATAAATGAAACATGGTCATGGTTGGAACACTCGTCGTCTTTATTTGGTTAATGTTGAACTCGAAATGTCGCCCGTAACAATGCGTGACTCACTCTCATCTCATTTGACCGCCCGGGTTTAAAAGCGAATGAAATTCAAACTACTTAACTTTCAGTTGGCTTATTAGGTACTTAACTATAAGTACATGAAATAAAACGGTTCTTAATTGAAGTTTATGAAAGCCACTCAATTAATTATTACCACTTGAGATGGTTTTCGTAAGCATCAAAACTCGTTTTATCGATATGTCAAGAACTTACTTCAACATGTTTTTATGCACTCTTTGTAAGAGTGCAGCATAACGTTGACACAATCGTCATGAACCTTTGAGCAAAGCAACGAGAATTACATTTCCTTTTCTCCAAGATATAGGAGGCTGTGATATGTGCGGCGTTATTTCACATTTCTTCAGAGCACTTGCACATCCCACTAGGACCAAAGCGAAGGTCAAAACAGTCAAAGAGTTCGCCATGACAGTCCACCCACTGCTGAAATAAAACTTGCTTGTATGAGAAGTGGCAAATTTATTCGTGGGTAGGTCCGTAGGTGCTAGCCTGCGCGCAGACTATATAATGACATATATGAAAAAATGAGATCTACTGTATTTTTGGATTTGTCATAATTTAATTTTTTTCTTGAAACATTTTTTCTTGAAATTGTTTATTAATGAAGGTTTAGAATTTCGATTCGGGACTGAGTATGTTTTGTTTTCTAAAAATACTTGGTACCCAGATTTCAATTTGAGATATTGAAAAATTCAAAAAGCCTCGATATTGTCACATACGAAGCATTTCATCACGTTTCGGGGGGGGGGGGGGCAATTTTATGAAAACCGTTTACGAATATCCTCCGGCTTCCATCAACGCTTTACAAGGATATTTTAATTTCTTAAGTCAATATTTATAATATGCACACTGTCAATATTTTACGCATCTTTGCGTTCAGCTTAGTGCAGGGAATTCAAATTCTAACAATATACGTTATTTCACAATATAAACATTTAACAATAACAATTCTAACAATTCGGGGTTTTTTGGGACACCCTGTCATAGCAAACATTGTAGGTCCTATTGAGACGTCACAACATCTTTTCCACCACACGATCTTTTATAGTTTTATGAGATTTTCAATTATTTTCGTTGCGAAAAACGGCCAATTTAAACGGCTATATTACCTATAACACCGCAGAGAAAAGTTCAAATTCCAATTCTGTTCTTGAATTTGCTATTTGCAGACTGCCAGACTTGCCACAGGCTGACAGGCACAGTGTTTGGATTATAAAATAAGACGTCTCAATTTCCGACATTTCAAAACTGCGTTTGGATGTATGTATAGCTTGCGAGGAGAATGCTTTTTATACTCAATCTACTGTATATTCATCATATTCTATGATTTTATATACAGGTGTTATAGTTAGTAACACCACGTTGATGGATCAAAGTCTCGTATTTAAACTGAAAATAGTGAAAAAGAATGTCAAAGCTTGTTTAATTTCAAACTTGGCAAGATCTTGGGGGGTTTAAGCTGATTTTTGACAGTGTGTTACAACCTTTGGCTTTGCCCTAATGCCCTCGCATATACGAGCTCGCGTATGACTGCTTCGATGTTTATTCGTGATATTCGCTCAAATAACTGTCTGACGAACGGAAATGATTTTGACAGAAACGAATATGTCATACTGTAGGCGTATCAATTATTCCGTATTCGTTGTATCGGTCATATAATGCTCAGAACGATGCGCTCGACGATTGCAGAAAATGACGCAAGTGTGCATGACTATTCAAATTCCGTTGCACTTTCATCCATTCCGATCTTAATTAAACGAAACGTGGCCAAAATATGAATACCATGATATTCTTTAATTGTGTTCATCCACAGTTCTCCTTTCCTTTTATGATATCAGTCTAATAATTCTACGCTCAAGTGCGCTCATAAGACAAAGCGTATAATAGTCTATTATTCTATTAAAATAATAAATACAACTTGTGATGGACACTTATAAACTTGCGCATGTCCGCTACGACTCATTTATTAGTATTCATGTGTTGTCGACTGTCGAGTGTATTGCGCAGAGTTGTATATAAATGCCGCGCGAGAGCGTCAAAAGTGTTAATTTTAATAAGTCAAAAGTGCGCCATTTGTTTAATTGATTGAATACGCTCTACTAATTTAAGCGATTCGTGATAAACGTTTCATTTGTAATATCGAATATTAATCTTGTCATAATTTAATATTTTCTCGACAGATGACAATGAGTGACTCAAGCAAAGAGAATCCCCAACTTAGTTTACATGGGCGACTAAACCAACAAAACGTAATATTGCCTTTATATTGGCTTAAGAAATTACATCTATTATCAAACACAAATATGACAAGTCTTAAATCTATGTCGAGTCGGACGAATAAAAGAACGAAATATTGAAGAGAATACATACCTGCTCTGTAGTGTGCTGTTACCCTCGAAGAATGAATAACAATTGCGGAATTACTGTCCGGATATGAACCTTACGATAGTGTATCACGTAACAGACACCTAATGTGAATATTAGTAAGCGCTATATATAGCTTTGTTATGAAAGATATTTGAGAAGTATCTGAATATAAAATACATTGTTTTATATTTTGTTGCAGGGTTTGCAGCTGGTGGAAGTGAATTTTTAGCAATCACAAAGAACTAGTTAATTAAACAAGTGTCAAGTAGTTCTCTAGAAATATGTATTGAAACTGTGTTCGTGTTGCAATGCTTGATCTTGATTGAGTGTAGCCGTAGGAAGCCGGCGATACGAATTTCAGGGCCCTACGACGTACACTGCGACTTTCCCCATTTTCCATTTTCCCCCGTATGGCTTCCCAGTTCCTCCTGCATTGTAAAATTTAATACGTTTCAAAAAACTAGTCAGAAACAACATCACATTCAACCTTCATTCAGTATGTACTGTAATCTGTATATCGACGGTAGAAGGCCCGTTCACATTTGTAATTTTTGCTGCGGCTGACGTGATGGATTCAACTATAGTTCAACTTTTTAAATCGTGCTCGAAATTTATGACAACTCGCTGCGATTTTTCACAAAAATGTGAACAACATAAGACTGTTCTTCATTGCTTCAATGAAGGCAGTCAAAGCCAAGCAGCATAAACATATATAAATACTTAAAATTCTTCATTTCACGCTGTTTTTAAAAGCAATATCCGCAGGTAAATCTACTATATAAAATGTAGACTATGCAGTGAGCTAACAATAACATATGTGAATAAGGAAATTGACTGCTTTCGATATAGTATAAAGAAAAATAGCGCAATAACAATATAAAAGCAAAGTATGTCAGAATACTAGACTAAATACCGCGTTTTATACTTTGGTCTTTGTACTTTCTATATTCGTTTGTGCGGGAGTGCATGCATGGCCATGGTAGTTACTAGTTAAATACAGTTTTATAATCACGCTTTATTCACTCTAGAGGTCTAGTTTTTAATTTCAGACACATCTTGCATGACATCAATCTTGCAGCTTTACGCTGTATTTGTATAGAATAAACAGAATTAAGGAGACGAGCAGTCGGCAATTTTTTCTACATCCAATCACTTGTTAGTTGTAAGAAAACAGCGACAAACTACCTAATTAGAACAAAAATCTTTGACCTTGTATTGCTTGTAAACGTGAATGAGGTATTGAAAATTTAAAATGGTAAAATCGCTGCAAATCGCAGTGTTGTATCACCATGCAGTTAAAATCGTAGGGTTTTTACATTGGAGATTAAAAACCGAAAATCGCCGTAGAAATCACCGAGAAAATTGCAGATGTAACGGGCCTATACGCTCAGTCTCGGACTCAGTTATTATACGTGTCCTTTAATTTCAGAAAGAGTTGATTGAATCAGTTGAATGTTCATGCACGTAAAGTTATGCAATTGAAAACCTTTATAGTGAAAACGTAGTTTAGCTAAATAATTTTAGGTTTTCCAGAAAAGATGCCAATTGAACATTTGATGACGGGCTTACTGCTACAATCTGTTCCTGCAACTTTCTTCCACCCTTTGTGACCTTGGACAGTTCTGTTGTCATCTTTGAATCACTACAGATCAAGACTTCATTGACTTCATTTTCAATATCTATTTTGCAAACTGCAGGAAACATTTGATGGATAGACTTTATTACTTCATCATTTCTCTCTTGATCTCTACACACAAGATTCAGAAAGAACAATCCACCAGGAAACAACATCGCTTTCACACATTTCAAAGTTTCTTTATCGACAAACACAGCTGGAGGACAACTCAGACCCTTGCATGTATCTTTTGAATCAATATCAAAAACAACTATGTCATAGTTCTTTGAGTTTTCTTTCAAAACTTCCAGACCATCATCAACAATCAACGTCATTCTTTCACTTTCTTGAAAACCAAACCAATTCTTCGCCACATCAACAATATCTGGATCAAGTTCAGCTACCGTTGTATAAATGCGAGGAAAATGAGTGTAGATGAACATTGGCAAGCTTCCACCACCGAGGCCAATCAAAAGTAGTTGCACATCATCACTTTGATTCTTCTCCAGTAAAGCAAAACCAGCTACGATTGCTTGATGGTGTTGGCATGCTAGGTACGACAAGTCAACATTCAATGGTTTGGTCTTCTTAGCATTCTTTTTCTTTTTACTTGACTTGCTTTGTGCCTGCTTCACAACTTGACATAACTTTGCTTCCGACTGCACAACACTCTTATTGGAGAGAAAGACCAGATGACGAAACATTTCATCACGATCAATTTCCACATCTTCAATGACATAGTCGCCAGTATATGTTGAACTACCACGATGGACAACCTTCCGATGGCCAACATCATCACCGATTGAGAGAAAAGGTACTTGGGAAGCTGAATTAACGCCACTCTGGGCGAATTCCATAACTTTACCAGATAATTCCTCTTTAATCTTATTAATACTTTCATATGAATGACCTCTATTAAGGGCTACAATGACAAGTCGCTCGAAACTTGCCGAGTTAGCTAGTTGCTTCTGACCTTCTTTGATTGAAAACATCCATTCATGTTCTCGGCCTTGGGGAACAATGAAAATAGCAAATTTTCCTGCAAGAGACTTTGAAGGTTTCAAATCAACAATTGTTACAGTATACCTAGGGTCTGTGGTGTTATCAGCTGCCCACAAATCAATCTGGAAATCGTCTCCTGGATGAAGAGTTTCCAAATGTTTCTTAACTAAGGCATATTCTTGAACTGCTTGAATAGATTGATGTAGTTTTTCCACACTGTCCAATCTAGTAATTTTCTCAGAGGAATCAGTTACTATCTCCAATATCTGGGGCATTATTATTGATATGTCAGGTTTTGGCCTAGTTTTTGTAAACACGAATGCAAATACAGGCAATGGAGATGCATTTGACGGTGTTTCCACTGTGTGAACTCGAATGAACCAGCTCAAATTTGGGAAATACTCCAGCAGCATGTTAACGATATGCTCTTGAGCCAAAGATACACATATATATCGGCCACCAACTTTCAGGACTCGTGTAATCTCCCCAAGCATCTTCTCAACATTTTCAGCTATCTTCTTATCATCACTGGTGAAAATTGCATCTAACGTTCCTTTATCCAGTACAACTTGGAAACTTTCACTATCAAATTTCATATCTAGCAAATCCATTTTCATGAACTGCATTTCCGGACGTTTTGCATTGTTTCTTGCATTCATTTGTTTAATGACTACTTCAGAGATATCCATATTAACCAACGAATGATAGCCAACATCATACAGATCTTCACTCAGTTTAGAGTTGCCACAACCTGTCAATCAATCATGCAATGAATTAATCAATTAATTATTCAATCATGCAATCGATCATTCAATACTTTTTAAAGTGTTGTGTTCAATGGCAAAGCGGTATAACAGGTGAGCGGGGAGGGTGTGCAGCCACTCCCACTTGTCTTCTAGTTTTGTAATTTTCCATATTCATGTAGGAAGTGTTTGAAGCCACGAGGGTTAAGACAATACAGAAAATATCCTAAGAGCATGCAATCAGCAGTTTTTTAACCTTTACCACAACACATGAAAACACAGAAAATAGTTCCATAGACCATATAAATCGCGTGAGGGATTACCGACATACCGATTTTGTAAATAGAATGAGGGAGACAACAGTATATTTGTGATTCTTGAGCAAGCCAATCAAGCAACACGCTTACAAATCTGCATTAGGGTCTAAGGGATGTTGTAAACCTCGCTCTGAGCCCACTAAATATAGATCTAAATCATAGAAATATTAGACCTAGAATGCGTGCTTGGTCACGTGACCGGTGTCCAAATTGAAAACAAAAATGCCCTTATAAATCCGCCATGTTGAATTTGAGCAGGAGTGCAAACTACAAAGTATAAACAAAGCTAAAACTAAGTTTTCATCGTCAAAACGCTTTGTCTTGTTGTCTAATTTGTAGTTTGGGGATATATTTGAAATTTTAAAGGCTCAAAGCAAATGTGCAGTTATTGACAAAAAGGTGAAAATCGTGCAGTCTTGAAAAACAAACTAGTTTCGCGTATTAAAATATAATTTATAATTTTTATATAATTTGTGCCTGCTCGTTCAGAGCAGTAACTGCTTTGCCAATATTTGATTAAACTAGGAAATGATAGTTCGTCGGGTTTCGTTTTTCTTCAATCTATAAAACGAAGTGTTTTCATGTTCTTGAAACAAAAATATTTAGTTGTCGATAAACGGTCCCTAATAATCGTTGAAAACTATGGTTTCAAAAGCGTTGCCTCAAGCTCAAGCAACGTAAAAATATATAAAAAAGTAGTAAGGTGCGAAAGTTTAAAAAGATTACCAAACACCATTTATATTATAAAACAGCTGAAATATTTTTAGAAAATACCTTAGTATTGAGTTTGAGTTTGTCTGGATCTTTCGTATAAAAACATGTTTTAGCTTGCACAACAACGTTGAAAATGTATTTTCAAACGACGATTCTGTATATATTCTGTTCAGAACTATTGCTTTTCGTAAAAACCCCACTGGAATGGGTTTTTCTCTTTTAAAAAACTTTTTTTCCACTTCAAGTCTCTATATTATTGTTAGTTTTGAAAACTTTGTTGAAAAAAAATCCGCACTCCCTGCAACCGCACGAAATTCCTTGCCGCAGGAGTCTGGGACTAGCCAAAATGCCCTTATAAATCCGCCTTTTTGTGGAGACAAAATTTTTACTGAGAAAAGATAGGAGTACGCATTCTATGCATGTCTATTATTTCTATGATCTAAACACTACTGTAAATACATTAAAACCGTAAAGGCTTCTGCGTAGGCGAAGGCCCGTCATCTTCAAACTAAATTTAGATTCAGAGTATACTCTTTGCTCGAGTAGGAGGTCAGCCCATTGTTTAGCACATGGTTTAGCACAGTCATTTCATTACGACTGGCGTGACGAAGACGAAGTCACACAATTTTAGGGTTAAAAACGATAATCATATATTGTAAGAGGACTCGGATACAGCGACTCGGATATAGCGATATACAAATATCGCTATAAAATAAATCTATGACATTTTCCAAACTAAATCTATGACATTTTCCAACAAAAAAGAGAAAGAATGTCATCCGGTACTTTCAATGAGAGGCTGTCCTATTGATGAAGTCGTCTCGCACATTCATCTGGGTTTGACTTTTCAAAGTAATATGTCTTAATTGGAATAATCATATTTTATCAGTTTATGAAAAGGCATCTCAACGATTAAATATGTTAAAACCATTGAAGTTCAAAATTGATAAATCAACTCTCGCTTGTTTATACAAAAGTTTTATTCGGCCAATAATGGAATATGGCGATATTATTTGGGATAATTGTACTGCCGGGAATAGTGAGTTACTTGAAAGTGTTCAGTATCAGTCAGCTAGAGTTGTTACTGGGGCCATTAAAGGTACTACTAGTTCGAATAGTCTTCGTCAAGAACTGGCCTGGGAGGAGTTGAGCATTAGAAGAAAAATTCATAAATTATCTTATTTTTATAAGATAGTTTATAATTATTCTCCTCTATACTTGAGCTTTTACCAAAATTGGTTAATGAAAGGTCTTATATTCCGTTAAGGTCTGGTCATAATATTAGTCAATATAAGTGTAGAACTGAAAAATTTAAGAAATCATTCTTTCCTTCCACGATTTCGTTGTGGAATACTCTTGATATTGACATCAGAAATTCAACTTCTCTTTCAAACTTTAAGTTGAAAATAAATAAGATTTATCATCCGCTTTGTTATAATAAATGGTTAAATTTTTCTCTTACGAGGAAGGCATCTGTTTTACATACAAGACTAAGATTAGGTTTTTGCGCGCTTAATGACTATTTGTATATAATTAATTGTTGTAATTCTCCTTTAAGGCTTTATGTATATATGTTGCCATAAAAATGAAACAGTTAAACATTACATTTTATTATGTCCTCGTTTTGCTGCTCAACGTAATGAACTTCTTACCTTCTTACCTCTGCTGCACAAGTCTGTGGAAAAGTATGGCTAACGAGCAACGACAATGGAAAACTTGAATTTTTATTGAACGGTTCTGTTCAATTAAGTTTTGATGAAAATCGTTTATTGTTCGGTGCTGTCCAATATGTTTTATTTTGGATACTTGTCGCTTATCCTAGCAATGCTTTGTGCGTTTATGTATCTTGTCTTTTCTGTAACACTGTCTTATTTTGTTTGTTTATTTGTGTGTTATTTGGTGTAAATAATTTTATATATCCTTTTTTTTTACACGTGAGCCCCCTCGATAAGCATGGCTTTTGGGGCAAACAGTTAAATAAAGTTTATATAAAAAAAATATCGCTATATCCGAGTCACTGTATCCGAGTCCTCTTACAATATATGATTATCGTCTTTAACCCTAAAATTGTGTGACTTCGTCACGCCAGTCGTAATGAAATGGCTGTGCTAAACCATGTGCTAAACAATGACTCGCGTGACTGACACAAATAATTTTTTTGACCAAATTTCCTGGTGACTAAATTGATACAGTTCTAGATTTAGATAGGTTGACATATAGATTTAGTTGGTGTTATGTACTCAGGTAAAGGGTCGTTATCTCGTCCTCGAATTAAACTTTCGATCACTGCTAATCTCCATGTTGGTCGAGAGTTATCATCATGTACTTGTACAACGTCTCCTATTCTATAGATACTGTACTCTTATCCCCAACGTTGGTCAAAGTATTGTAGAAGTAGCACTAATCTCTCGGCGATTCTTTGGATCTCCACATTTTCGTCGAAGTTCGGTAGGGCTGTTATTCTTCTGCCATACATATAAGAGATGTGATGGTGTAAGTGGTTGCTGGTCTGCCCACACGTATATCAATGGTCTGTCGTTTAAAATGGCTTCGACTACACAACGAGGGTTTGTAGCATTACTAAATTCACTGAAGCTACTCCAACATGTTTTCGTCAGTCTTCTCAATCTCTCGTAAAAGCCGCCATACCATGGTGCTCTCTTTGGAATGAATTGCCATTCTGCATTCTGTCTATTGAGTGTCTCTTTCACTATATCGGTGATTCAAACAATTTCTTCCGCTGTGGACAAGTACTGCATGTAAAAGCATTATATGACATCACTAATTTGGGTAGTGCTCTCCGAGCAGCAAATCTACGGAATGCAAGGATAAACGCAACCTCGTTCCCAGGCTCTTCCTTCTTGTGGAGGAATTTTCAATTTTCCAAACACGACAAACACACACCTCTACCACCCTACCCACAGACAAATTTCATTTTACGACGCAAAATCTGCGTGGCGCGTGACCAGCCACAGCAGAAAGAAAGAAAAAAAAAGACAAAGAAAGAAAGACCCTGGTCTTTCCTGCACAAGAGGAAGTATGGGATAAACGTTGGTACCGACAAGTTCGTAACAATCTCGAGATGTACAGCTCTTGTGGCGGCATGCTTTATTTCCTGTCCCAGATTCTTTTATGTATAATGCTTCACTGAAATCAAATCAACACCTGTGATTTCAAATGGTCGTATCTGTTGAAGTCTTGCTTTCGGCAATGGTAGTGGATCTGGTGGATTATATTGATGATCTTCTTCACGAGTTATCGTCCGGCACGAATCCAATATCGTTGACGTAGCGCCGTCTGTGTTGCGTTTACACCCGAGTGCAACTGGCGGACGTGTATTTCGAAAATCACGAGCTTCGTGAGGTCATTTTTCCGTGGTAGAATATTGAGAATTTCGTTGATTCTGCCAGCGGCGCGGTGTGTATTCTCCCACTTGAGCGAAGAAGGCCAAATTTATTCTTGAATAGACGAAGTTAGCGTACTAAAGGTACTAGTTGTGCCCTTTTCGACGCGAGATTATTTCGTTATGGTATGTCAATTGCTGTGCGTTCTGTTTTTTCTTGATATAGTTTTTCACAAACCGTAAAACGTATGCTGCGACGTTGAATAGTCGTGAGGTGAGAGACTACTAAATTTAGAGATTGGTATTAGATGATGAAATTCAGGCTGTTTATAAGGATCTTCAGGTGTTGTCGATACATTTTCTTCGTTTGTGGGATCCTCAGTTTGGGTTAGCAAGAGGTGATTTGAGGGTTCAACCAAACATTCCGGTTAAACACCACCATTTTAAACGTTGTGACAGCAAGTACTGTAAGAAAGACGAATTTGAATTTGGACGTCGAAATTGACTTTATCCCAATTTAGAAGTAACGGCAGCTTCGATCTCCACTGGCTTCACAGTACAAAACAACATAAAACTTTATACGTTGCCAGCCGGGTTGCAGAAATCAAAACTCTCACATCTATTGATAACTGAATATACTGTCGCACAGAAGATAACCCCTCAGATTTACTAACCTCAGGTATCACCATCCATCAACTGTATGCATCAGAAATCTGGAGAAATGGACCAACTTGGCTGCTAGCAACCCCAGAGATGTGACCATCTTGTTGACAGGAGATAACCAATCTTTGACTTCGCCGCTGTCGGACCAGAACCATTAATTAATTACTTCGTCTTCAGCGACATCCTAATAATGATCCGTTCCAATCAGTAGATCAATTTCAAAGGTGCGTTCATTCATTATTGGGTGTGCAAATGAAAGTGCTGTATGCAAGTCAACGCTGGTAAAATTTGGTAAAAGAGCAGACATTTTGGGAACAATGATAGCTTCAATGGGAATGTTTTCTCAACAGGAGTTTGCACGTTGATGTGATGGTACCTACTTCAACTCTTCTTACTGACGTGGTTGTCCCACCGAATGTGGAGAGGGAAAGGGTTCCTCCCGTTCAGTTGTTAGACCCACATTCCTGGCTACGCTACTGGTCAAGAGACCCTTCGTCAAGCAAAATGCGTGCACTAACTATTGACTCATGGTACTCAAGTGGGGGAGATACAGTACATAGCTGTATTCAACAATCTCGACTTGTGTTTATTTTCACTTAGATGTTGAATTTTTGTGGGAATGTTTGTGGGTGAAATGGTTGGGGGTGTTGCTATGTGTCCTGTTGGGTTGGTGTTTATACTAACTGGTTTTGAACCTTTGGGTTGGGTCTTGTTTATTATAGTAGGGAGGTAGGGAAATTTCTACTGAACATAAGCCTGTGTGATGTTTGCGATGACAAGCTTTGCACCGACCTCTTGACTTGCGCTGGGGCACTATGTAATTATCATTACGACAATTGAAACATAATTTGGAATCTTGCACCATGTTGTGTTCGTGTTTCTTGTCAGTTATGACAGCACAGTTATTTGGACTATGGGAACCTTTGCAGTAAACACATGTTCGTTTTATTGATCTAGATGGTGATTGACGGGGCTTGTTGGTGAGTCTTGTCATTTCCAATGGCAAATACTGCGGTGTGTGGGTCTGGAAAAAATTCATTTGGGTGATTCGTTTCGCCTACTTCCAATATGTTGGTTTCTCTGCACATTGCTTTTCGGAGCTCATCAAGATTCCATTCATTAAGTGATGTACAGTGATGTACATTAAGTAATATATCCGCTTACAAATCTTCAGGTTTTGTGAATAGTTCAAATATCTTATTGTCCAGTTCTGATAGTATCTGGCCTTTCTGCTGAAGTTGCTCGTTTTGATCATCTTCTGCTTCTTTCAGTTCCGTAATTTTCTTCTATAAACTTAAATGTGCTCTGTGTGTTCTCCCTGATGCTATTAGACGTTGTCTTCCATCATCGTCATGGCACCATAATTTCAAGTATTTTATTGTTAAGTTTAAACAGGTTCTTTAGATAATAAACATGGAATAACAACAAATTAACATGGCGTCCAGAAAAGGCACAAAAAATGTTAATACTTATAATGTTTGTCTAATAATGTTTGTCTAATATGTTTGCCTACTTATTTCCAATCATACGCATGTCCTCATTAAATAAATCCAAGATGACAGACAGCTCAAAGCTTTCAGTCAAAATATTTCAAGAATCAAGCCAGATATGAAAAATCTGTAACATTATTTTATAGTCATATACTAGATAATTTTAAACGTTCTTTCACAAACGAGACAATAAAATTTTGTTGCATTTAATTTGGAATCATTGAATTCTTGACAAATTAGCAAGCAGCAATGTTTTTCAAAAATATGCCTGTCCACGGTGGGAATCGAACCTACGACCTTTTTCAAGCTTGCCCGGTATGGATATACCCTGTACACTCAGAGTAACATCACAAGCATCATATTCACCTGAGTACAATACACCAACACAGAAAAAAAAGTTTTTCAAGTTACCCAAATATGTTTTGTCAATGATTGTAGCTATTAATATTTAAAAAAACACTCAAAAATGTCATTTTCTTTGATAACATTTTTTTTTTGTATTATCAAGACCATTTTCATTTTTGGTTATTTTTATATTAAGAAAGACTTTTGTAATACAATACAGCATTAAGTCACTAGGCAAAATTAAATATAACTGTAGTTGTTTAATGCATGCCTCAAAACAACGTATATTTAGTTGTGAAGCACCTTTTTCATGATGAAGAAACTAGTTCAGGGACATATTTAAGTTTATTTTATGGATTGGCTACTTTTTGCCAGAACAATAAATATTACTGTTATTAAATTCAGCCGCAATGTGCCACAGTGCGCCCTACTTATTTTTTTTACCTGTTTAATGCCAGACGATTGTACTCGTCAATGGGGAAACTCTGCAGCTTAATGGGTTAAATTGAAAAATAAATGTGTATATTGAGTCATTGTGCACATGGTGTACAAAAAGTGCCTTGGGTCACCAACTAATGTTGATAATTTTGTCAAGCTTGTTTGTTTTCGTCAGGGCCTAAATAACATCAGCAATTGACATGCAACATGCTACAAAACACATGTGCATAATGGTGCATCCGTGCATGAGCAACTCGCCATGTATAAAGGACATGGACACCATCCACAGGCATGAATCCTGACAAGGGTTTCCTCATTGTATATAGCCTGCGAACAGGCTCTCAAGCTGAATTGAGAGCCTGCATCGATGACTAATGAATTTGAATATCTGCCCCGTAACGTTCGTTTTTCCACATATGGAATGTCTATCCTTATATGGTGTTGTTTACAACTTTCGTGCAAACTAAATTTAGACCATGCAAACTAAATTTAGACTGTACAGTTTATACTGTTTTTCGAAATATAGGATATTGAAGCAAAAGTTTAAATGTTTTAAATACTGTTTTCTCAAAACAGAACATTTCGTGCTTTGAGATAAGATGGCCAAGACCAATTTGATCAGTTAATGTGTTTTTTTGTGCATAGAGCAGTTGACATATATAGAGCTCAGCGGAATAATATAAATTATAGCATCTGACCAATGAGAATTTCGCGTCACGATTTCAGACGCAGATATTCAAATTCATTAGTCATTGATGCAGGCTCTCAATTCAGCTTGAGAGCCTGTTCGCAGGCTACATTGTATAAGGGTTATTGTGTGAATTAATATATTGAGCCAATATAATGAACATTAACGGACATCACTAAATGGACTGCATTAAAAGCACTCCCAACACTTCATCGTTGCAAGTATTAAAAGACATGTAATGAGGGGATTTTTTCAAATTGTCTTCATGTAGGAGATGCCTCCAAAATCCAGGAGACTAAGTACTAGTAGGTCAGGCAATACACCAACAAACTCAGTAGTGGTTTCACACTTTCTCCCATTTAAAATTCCATGACTTTTCCACAACTTTCCATGACCATTTTTTCCAAAATCCATGACCTGGAAGACTGGAATTTCTGAAATTCGTTAATATTTTAACGATAACAGATATAATAAAAGAACAAAATTCACTTCGCTCTTGCAAAAATTCGTTATACAACAACAATTCATATTATTGTTATGACAGGTAAATTGAAATAAGTAATTATAAAAATACTTTGTTAATGTTATGTAAAATTTCAATTTTCCATGACTTTCCATGACTAACATTGATTTTCCGGGATTTCCAGGCCTGGATTTTGGAATGTTGAAATTCCATGACTTTCCAGGTTTTCCAGGACCCGTACGAACCCTGTATAGTGATTGACAGGTAAACGGCACCCCTTTGATTCGATTTTTGTCTTATCAGTAGACAATTGGAATCGGTAGAATTATCGATAATTGTCTAAAACCGATTGTTGAGAAAATATGCATTGCAGATTGATACACATTGTTTTTTAACACAATATGTTAAATTAATGTGTAAAGCATGCCATTTATTAACGGTTTCAATTAGAGGTGAGCCGATCATCGGCAAAACATCGGCAAAACCTAGTCTTTCACAATCGGCCATTGTCTTCCACCATTTGTATGGTCAGCAGTGTTATAAAAAAATGAAATTCAAATATTTGGTGTGGAAACAATTATCGAAACGAAAGTGGAAACACTATGTTTACCAATTTCCCGCATTTTTTCATAGTTGTTTTCTCACTTTTCTGGCATTTCTGCAAGATTTATTAATTAATTAAATTATTGTGTTCCGTAACTTCCGTTGACCAGTCAGTACGTAGCACGCTGTGGATTTCAGAATCAGTGTTAAAAATATCGCTTCCTGTTGCTGCATTTTTTTAGTCTTTTGACGAGAGGATACATTAGTAAAAAAATTAAGATGACCATCGGTTTTGCCGATTAATCGGCCGATGGTGGGTAAATATCGGCTGTTAACAATCGGTATCGGTAATCGGCTTTTTTTAGACATCGGCTCACCCCTAGTTTCAATGATATTTGGTTGCAGTAATGAATGACGACGACATGAATGACGTCAACTTTACTGGGTCAACTGATATTATGAAGTGACTTCAATTATTGAAGTCATTATAAAATCGGTATCCACATCGGGTAGATTGTGCCATGAATAATAGGTAATTTCCGATTGCTGCACAATCAGTCAATCACTAGTTTCTTACTTGTGTTTGTTGTTAACATCCCACCATGCACCCATGGCCAGTGATGGCCATATTTGATTTGGTAATATACACCCCACATCACAACTTCCAAATACATTGTTAATTATTATAAAATAAATTAGTACTCTTTATATACCTGCAACTAGTACTCGATCTTTAGGCTTACAGTATTTATGAAGTACACCACATAGGTCGGAATATTCTCCATACCATTCAAAAGCATCTTTACGTTTCTCAAAAAAACTGTCCCAGTAGCGTTTTGAGCCAAAATCTTTCGTTGATTTCGGCAGTAAATT